TGAGCTAAGGTTAGCCGAGATAATGATCAGCAATACAGCGTCTCGCGTACAGAGAGACAGGTTAGTGAGACAGGTACATAGAGAGAGACGGAAAAAACATAACCCGTTCAAGTTTTAAGTTTAGGAGTAAGACTACTATTTTGTAAATGTAGGTATATGTATTGTATGAATTTAAGACATTTGTTCTCATTCAACCATTTAACTTGGATGTAGGTTCAGATTTAATTCAGGCCTACATTCAGCTAAACATGTCATCCAAAAAACAGTAACAAATGACCATTTCAAAAGTGATTATTTTGAGTGTTTTCTGAACTGCCGTGTCTCCAGCCAAATGCCTGGCAAAGGTTTTTTTAGACTCTTGCTATAAAGGAGTTAGGATTTAAAGGCTTTTACACCTGCGCTCTTCCCTAATATGACATGCCCATGTGGGAGTAGATAGCGAAGACACTCTAGCAGTCTGGAGAAGAGGGCTAATAAGCAAAATAAGACCTGCAAAAGTGGACTGAGGTAGTGTAATCCCTTTAGTGTGTGTAGCCACACCAGATTAACAGCCTAAATAAGTACATTTGCTGTGTTAAGTATTTGGTATTTGGAGCAGTTTGCTTACAAATGGGACTAGATGCAGACTATAGGGTCACTTTATATCAGCCGAGTTTTGCTGCATGGCTGTTAATGTTGGATATATATTTTAGGTTCACAGTAACTGCCAGTACTCATGGTTCTGCAGCCATTAAACCACCAGTATAATGGCTTTTTTTACCGTTTTCCTCGCTCGCCAATAGTCATTACACCCTGAATATATAATGTGAAACTGGCATCGTTACAAAAACACTGGTGACTACCGGAAGTCTCTGGTGTGACATTTGGATCCCACTCATCCTGGCCCCACAACACAGCTTGTCAGAAACCTAAACACATTGTTTGTTTGTAATGCTTGAACAAAAAAAACAATGCAGCTTTTTTTTTCTAGCGTGGACAGTCCCAAGAGGAAATACTAAAACAGCTTCACTGTATTCAGCAATCTGGAAAAAATCCCTACGAAATTGGCATGTGTTAGGAGAGGATAGGAAGTGTGGAGGCAGAAGAGAGGCGAACACAATATGTCCTCCTGTGCGCTCTCCGTGCAGAATTGCCAGGAGAAATTACATTCAGCCTGGGATTTATCTCCATTCGGTCTCCTCCAGTTTGTTTTGTTTTTTGTCAACTATTATTGGTAATAGAAAATATCCGTACACCTAGTATGGACTTTAGCCTTTACACATGATCACCAGCTGAATGGCAGTCATTATTTTATGTGAGAGAGTGACAATGTTCAGCCTCATAGCAGTGCTGCCTCGGGGGTTGAATGACTGATCAAATTAAATCTCAGTACCTCTTTGTCAACGTGTTAACCTTTGCTGCCAAACACGCAAACAGCATCAATAGATTTCTTCTGCGCTAATCAGGTTTTCGTGGTCATTTAGATGGATCTTATTTAGTCATTAAAATAAAGATTACACCAAATGTAGTAATCAGTACATACAATTAACCTGCAACAGTTATCTTTGATATTTCTTCTTCTTCTCATTATCTTCATTGTGTAATTACATTTGTGCCATTTGACCGAAAATGTTATTAAGGAAAGTATTTTAAAAAAATATATATTTATCATTTTTTTGTTTATAAAAAAAGGGCAGCAAAATGTGAGAAATCCAAAAAAGTGGATGAGAAATGTAAACACAACACTGCAAAAATCATGCATTTGAGAGTAGAGAGAGAAAATGAATGAGCAACACACAGATTATAGAGTGTGTGATAGATGGGACTGACAAACACACAGTTGTATGTTCCCCACCTGAATAATAAAGGTCAATCATTTTGGTTGAAGCAAAGGTACTCAAAAAAATGATATTTGAAGCCTTCCATTCTGAATTCCACTCTCAAATCAAAAACAATATCCGCCCCACACTCCAGATCAATGGCACACTGCAGCACACACTGTACCAAAATTGGAGGAGTGAGTGAGAGAGACGTAAACACTCAGATTCACCTACAAGCTGCTTGTGAAATACTTCCCTCTACTTCCTCCTCAATTCTTATAAAAGAATCTACTCTTCTTAAGGTGTCACATTTCTACCGTCTGTTGAATCTGAGATTTCTCTCACACACAGTAGTGGACAATATGACACAAATTACCAGTGCTTGAATTGGAATAAAAAAGGTGCCAGTACTCTAAATCAGCAACTGTTTCAAGTCAATTTATTTATACAGCCCAAAAACAAGTATTTGGCTCAAAGTCATATAGTAGCCTATATCCTATAATGCTGGTGGGTTTGTCTCTTTACTGTATATTTTAGAAAGGCTCACTGTACTTAAACAAAATACCGGCCCAATTCAAGCACTGCTAATTACTCATTAAATGTCTCAGTACGAGAGTCTGTATTTATGGCAGAGACTGCTGTATTCTTCACTAATTTTTATTTTAAATAAATACAAATGATAATACTAATATGGGTAATATCTAAAATGCATTGGTTATTTCTCCTGCAGTTTCACAACGCTACATTAGAGACTCTTATAGTGAATAATAAACATGTTGAATGTGGTTGAATGGTCAAAAAGATAACATCCAACGTATTTTCCTAAAAACTTTTCCCTAATGTTATGAGGTCTAGGAAATATGTTAGGGTCTCAGCCATAGTCTATACCTCTCATATAGCCTTTCCTTGTGTGTGTGTGTGTGTGTGTGTGTGTGTGTGTGTGTGTGTGTGTGTGTGTGTGTGTGTGTGTGTGTGTGTGTGTGTGTGTGTGTGTGTGTGTGTGTGTTCCCTGCCCTCTTCTCCTGTGGTCTCCCTTTGTCTTCCATAGACCGCATGTTGTCGTCCTCTGTGTTGGGTGTGGCTCTCCTACTCAGGAGGTCCAGAAGCTAGCGCATCTGCATTTCATAATGAAATAAACTGCAACACAATATCGACCTTGGCTTTCCTCACAGTTAAAGATTGTTCTGTCTACCACAGTTGGAGCCACACTCTTAGGAAGTATTTTTGCAGAACTCCTGTATTTGTGCTCCTGCGCAGGCAAACATGACATCAAAGTGGGCTTGAGCCCCTGCCCTTTTTCTTCCTCCAGAGAAAGTGCCCTTTCCCCCCCCCTTTTTTTAAATTTCAATAAATAAATTAATATATATCTACTGCTGTTTGCACACAGTTTCACTTTCCAAAAATATATTGATTGAATACAAAATAAAAACATCAGGTCGGGAGACTAGACTGTGAAGTTCCGATGCTCTCTACCCTCCTTCCCTCCCTCCACGTCTCGCGCACAGCGGTGCGGACAGTCATCGGCAGTTCCTTCAGACAGACAGGTAGCAGCACCTCCCACCTTAAAGTCCCATGTTAGGCCAGCTTTTCTTGGCTTGTTTGAAGCTGAGTGGTGATGAACAAATGACTAAGCTGCCAGTGCCTCGAGTTTACAGCCTATTAGCCAAAAGACACAAAAAAATATAGCCTAGTTAACTAAGGTAGGCTACTAGCTAATGGATAAGTTAGCTCAAGGTTTAGCTAAGGCAATTTATCATGGGCATACAGGCTAATGTAGCCTACTGTACTTAAGGGGAGACACTACAGGTGAATACAGTAAAATGTGTATCTAATAACGTCATCACAATCGCCACATTGATATGCAAATTAGGCGTTAACTAGTACACTAGTAATAAAGTAGTCTACTATCTTATCTCTTATCTTATCTTAATTAAAATGCGCTAATTTGCATGCAGTTACCAAGGCATTGCAGGTGAAAAGCATAAAACAAAAAACAAACAAAAAAACATATCACCTCACAACTTCCCCACATAGTTACCCAGCTAGCGGGGAACGTTCTCACAACTTTGGCTAACGTTACCTATTGGTTATAACAAGGTTTTAAAGAAACGTTTTAATCTGATGTTCTAAGAACCTTTTTAGGATGTTTATTTGTTCAAATAATGTTCCTATAAGGTTTAAGGTTAACTAAGACATAACGTTTTAACTGCAACATTCAGAGGATGTTTTGAAGATGTTATTGAGGCCTGAGATGACAGAACGTTTTTTTATAAAATGTTCCTTTCATGTGATATGTTAACAAAGGTGGAACGTTTGCCTCCAACATTNCTAATTAGCCAAAAGACAAAAACAAATATAGGCTATTAACTAAGGCTATACTAGCTAATGGATAAGTTAGCTCAAGGTTTAGCTAAGGCAATTTAGCCATACTGTACTTAAGGGGAGACTGTGACGCTAAATGTGAATACAGTAGAATGTGTTAATAATGTCATCACAGTAGCTACATTGATATGCAAATTAAGCGTTAAATAGTACACTAGTAATAAACTACTATCTTATCTCTTATCTTAATTAAAATGCGCTAATTTGCATGTAGTTACCAAGGCATTTCAGTTTAAAAGGATAAAACAAAAAAACAAACAAAAAAACATATCACCTCACAACTTCCCCAGATAGTTACTTACGTCAAGTCAGTATTGTCCCCTGAAATGTTACGTTTAAATGCAGATTAGCTTTAAATAGGCTATAGATCAATTCACACATGGTAGTAAAGCAAACACCATTTATATGTGTTTTTTGGAACTTTTCTTTCCATGAGAGTGAAAGAAAACATGGAAGCAAAATAGACCAAAATAACAAAATGTACAAGTACATGAGAAAACGATATTTTTGCCTGAAATGTCCTTAAGTAGTAACTTCATAATTTTGATTGTTGGCTGCTCATTTAATAACTATTAATTGTACTAGTTTGTTCTCTGCTCTTGTGCATTGTGAATACTAAAGAAGACCATTGTCTCTGTGTCAGCTGATTATTTTGTAGAATTCTGTTGAGTATTAAACAATTGCGTGAGTGTATTTAAATAAATTGGTCAGTAAGTCAGAGATGTGCAACTATATTTTTTTGGAAATGATTATGGGAAGTGCCCTTTTTCCCACTTGAGCTCCCGCCCCCCAAAATGTCTGTGCACGTCCCTGAATCTGTCATATTCTTGTGTGTGTCTTCACCTTGAATTCCAACAGGCCCTGCATTTGCTCCAGGTCTGAAGCCACTAAATCACCGCCATCTTCATCGTCATATTCGTCCTCATCCATTACCTCGATCTTCTGTTAGAAAAAGCAACAAAGATTAAATCAAATAATCGTGACATATTGTATTTTTCTGTAATAAACTGAATTATGCCACCATTTGTTTTCTCAAAGTAACAAACCATACTCTTGAGAAAAAACAAAAAACAAAACGTATCCTTGTTTGCAATTGCTGCTCTGTTTAGTCTGCAATAGTGCTGTCTAGATAAAGCTCATACTAACCATGAAACAAGTGACGTGATGCCAAGTTGATGTAGTTTTATTGCATTAAACTAAAAACGTATATTATTAACTAGGCTGTACTGTAACATCAAATACAAATAATTACCACATTATTGGCCAGTGGAGCAGCAGCAGACAGATCTATACCATCATCTCCTTCTCTGTGATGAGAGTCGATGGTTCCATCTAGAAGCCAGGAGATTACATGAATACTGAGTCACACCGTTTTTACAGACGCAGGTGGATGTGTGTGTGTGTGTGTGTGTGTGTGTGTGTGTGTGTGTGTGTGTGTGTGTGTGTGTGTGTGTGTGTGTGTGTGTGTGTGTGTGTGTGTGTGTGTGTGTGTGCAGATTGCATCAGCAGCCTGACCTTCAGACAGGCACACTGATCCCTCGTCATTCAAGTCATCTCCGAGTTCAGGCGTTCTGAGGCCCACCTCGTCGGGGCTCACGGGAGACTCGTTCCCGGTGGAGAATACAGCAGGTCCCCCTTTAGGTGGAGGGATCTCTATACCCATCAGACGGTACTTCCTCCGTCTGTTACTGATCCATGTCTGCCGATTGGAAAACACAAAAGATAACATGGTAAGTTAGATGGACGTTGAACAAAAATACGCACAATAGCTTTTCAAAATAAAGTGTCTAATAATAATAATAATAATAACTTTTATTTATATAGCGCTTTTCAATAACCCAAAGTCGCTTACAAAAAAAAAAATTAAAAGTACAGAAAGGGGGTGAACAGGCAGAAGACAACATATTGGACAAGAAAATTGAACATGAACATTACATGAACAGGCAAAGGACAACACAGGGGGGGAGCAAGCATANTGTAGAAACTATTGCAGAAGACCGGTTAGTCTTAGTCTCATTGCCGCACCACAACAACGTCCTTCAGGGCTGCTCTTAGTAGAAAGACACATCATGTAGAGATATATGGTAGCTATTGTTGTAAATGCAAGGACTATCCTTTAGTTATGCTACTTTTATTCTGTGGTGCCAAACTACTAACATCCACACACCCGACAGAAAGTAAAACTGTGTGTCTGTGTACATATATTTTGTAATTGTATGTACATCGGAGTACAAGACGATCACTACGTGACAAAAGTTTTCAAAACAGTTTCTAGTCTTCGGTATTTCCAGACAAGTGGCTACTGAAATCAATCTTACTAACTGCTGTCTGTGCAATTTACTCCGCGCAAGTTGGCGGACTTTATTTAGCTTACTTTAACATCATTTTTCATGGTGGGGCTAAGCCATTTCTTGGTATGGCTGTAGCCTACCCATACCCTGGCACTGTCACTGGTGGGATGTATGGGCGGGCCATTCTGCGCATGCGTTAAATGCGCAATATTAAAAAATATTTTAACGCAATTAATTCAACAAATGAATTACCGCCGTTAACGCGATAATTTTGACAGCATTAATTTATAATAATAATAATTTATAAAGCCTGCTGCTTAGTTTATAGTTTCATTTTTCAGACCTGGAAGTTGCTACTTTTTCAATTATAGTAATAAACTCCACCTTGCCATTGGCTAAAAGTCAGGACATTTTCCACTTGCATTGAAATCTACTTTTTATATAAAATGGCAGCCGCATGCACACCTTCAAATACAATGAATCTCTAGAAGAGATGAGGAAGAATGAGGAATTCTGGACACTTTGTTCACAGGATCTATTAATACTGTGCTTCAAGTATGTAATTGCAAACAAACAGAACTTTGAGTTTCCAAATGTCTTTATTGAGCTGATTGAAGGAATAGATTTGTTGAGACAGGATTGGTCATTTATCTTCGATGAACAGATGTGTGCATTAGGCAGCCATACACCATTAGACACAGAGTTGCCCGGTAAAACTGTTCTATTATTCACTGCTGTACAAACCTAATGCAATGCAAAAAGCAAGATGGACTACTTTAAAATGTAATTTAACAATATATCAAATCTCATTTCAGGTAAGTGAAGGGTAAGAAACAGTTTGGACTGTTTGTGGGAGTAAAAAAATGCAATTACAAGATCCTCCCAGGAAGAATAATGAAAACTGAAATGAGTTATGTAAATTCTGTTTGTGAGATGATGACGACAGGGTGAGACCATGACTGTGCGTTAACATCCATAAACATATCATGCATCGTACACAGGCTGAGCCATATGCTGCCGGCAGTGCCGGCACTTTCATTTCATGTTGTAGTTTAAACCCATCACTTCCTGCCTGTCACCTCCTTGATAGCGCTACTAATGTTGCTTAATGAAATTTGTTGACAACGGAACAGCGCTCTGTCCTGTTCCCAACATATTTAATTAGCTCTCTCTGGGTGGGGAGAGAGAGAGAGAGAGAGAGAGAGAGAGAGAGAGAGAGAGAGAGAGAGAGAGAGAGCACAGGGAATGGATGACCTCCCCCAGTCACTGTCAGCACACTGAGAGGCCCCATGAATCTTTATGTTTGTCTCTCTCCTGGGGTTAATGTGGTTTTGATGAAACAGTGTTTTAACACCTGACTCGATACAGTAAAAATAGAGAGGAGAGGAAAGGTGAGGAAAGGAGAGGAGAAAAAGGCGAGGAGAGGAATGATGATTCAAGAGGAGGGAAGTAATGGACTTAACTGAAGCCTCTCTGGAGATAAGGGCACTGTCTTCTTAATAGTATATTGAGTGTGTGCGGTTACGATGAGGGAGGTATGTAATGTAATAATAAAACATGAATAAGCTGCAGAGCAGCAGCGCACTGGTGAGCAGAGTTTAAGTTGGGCCAAAGGGAGCCATCACTCCACCAGCTAACTGAACCCCTCCAACTAAATTACCGCAGCGACCAGAGGGACCTCCCAGCCCTCCCTTTCCGTTTGTTCTTCCTCTTGTTTCTCCTTCAATACTCCTCCTCCTCTGCACAGCTCCAGGCAGGTAGGTCATTAGGAAGATCCTGCCTCATACACAAGAGGTTCAAATCCCCAATGAGGTTATTTCATGGTTTTGGGTCAGAGGCTTAACCCTGCATTTTAAACAGAATCAAGATGGCCCCCAAAAGTCTGGAAGTCCACCGATCAGATGCAGATCTAAAAAAGCTGGATGATATTTGAACGGAAAACCGATAAATAAAACATGAGCGTTGTTGAACTCCTTCTCTAAAAGGTGTGCTTTTATTGATTATTCCTCCTCAGACACTACTGGACACTACCGGCGTCCTGGAAGCTCATAGCTCACTCTAATTTGCCAACATCCTGTCACAAAGATTTAGATTCAGCTCAAGAGATGTCCATTTGTTTGAGGTTCCTGTACTTCACGTCTTGAAGCCAAAATAACATGAATCCCTCAGTCTGCTAAACTAAGGACAAACCAGCCACCTTATCTCCCTCTTCACCTCCTCAGTTTGAACTTCCTCTGCTCATTTCCAATGTGCCATTCTTTTCTCCTCCACAATGACAATTGGATTTGTGGCTGTGAATAATTTCATGTAGCTCAAGAGTGAGCATACGAGCAGAGGTTGGCAGCTGGAAGTGAGTTCGTCCTGAGGAGATTTCAGTGCTGCTGAAAGATCACTGATAGCTGACCCTGATCTTAGTCATTTGCGTAACAGACAGAGAAAAGTACCACTCAACACAGTGAAGGAGGACAGGAGCCAATACATTGACGGTAAAGTGGAATAGCATGAAAAAGAAAGCAGGAGAAAGACAAGAAAGCACGATGAAAATGTGACAATAGACAATTAAAGATATATTTATAACTTCTGTATGTCTTGAAGAAACCCAGTTATTTCTTTTATTATAAAAAACAAACTGTGTTATTGGTAAATACAATTCTAGAGAAACCGAGGAAAGGAAATGATACACTTACAGTGAGAGAAGCAGAGTGTGAAACTTAAAGAGAGATAATTGGAAGAGGGATGTCTCACCCTGGAGGAGTAGGTGTGTCCATCAGATCCACACACAGGACTTGACTGGAGCCCTGAGCAGAGCCTACATTTACCATGAGCTGCGGCTTCAGGCCTGTGCTTGTGTCCTGCACTGCCTTTCCTGGGTTTCACACTGAGAATGAAAGAGAGAAGTGGGGACAATACACATACATTTAGTTATCTATCAATCCAAAGTTTGACATGACTCAGTTAATCATAGACAAAACAAACCATTACATCTACAGTGATTGAGCCAAATCCCTTCTAGTGGATGTGTTGGATTTGGACATTAGCATAACATTTATGATGGAACATTGAGATGCAGTATCACCTTTCAAAGCAGGATCATTATTTAAACTAGCAGAATCCCCTTTTCTACCAAGTATTTCTGGTTGTCAGGGTAAGCAGAAGCAGAGCGAGTCCTGATTGGTCTATTGAGGCTTTTTCAATAAAGAGAGTAATTGCAGTTGATCCAAATCTCGCAGCAATTTTCCATGTACAGTAAGTGCTCTCACTAAACACCCTGCTGCCTCCTGATCCATCCAGCACTGCAGGAACATTGACTCTTTGTGTAACTAATTGGACAACAGCAAATTACAGTATGTGAACATCAACTGTAGAAGTGACCAGATGGATATTACAAAGTCATGCAACCTTTTTCCACATACACGCTCTAAAATTGTAATCTAAAAACTCCTGTACACTGTGTTGGCCTCATTTTCATAAAAAGTATTAAGTAAGAGATCATTGTTCAGTCCCTTTGAAGATTCTACGCTCTCTAAAACTACAACATTTACATCCCAGGAACTTCCTCACCAACCGAGACATAATCTTAGCCACGGCAGACTAGACATGCACATTGCACTGATAATTAAACCGTGGTGGAAGATAAGATGGAGGTAGAATGAAACCTGTAGTATGCTGTTTGATAATGTTCCACTCATTTCCCCATCAAATCCCAATGCTTCTCCTCCTCTCCTTTCAAGTACTCTTTGCATAATTGCAGTGAAATTCAAGAATGAGTTCATTATTAGTGTGAATTTCAGGGCGGGATTGGTTTTGCCAGGGAAATTAGCACATGCATTTAAATTATTACCAGAGTGAGACATACCTTATATAGACATAAAAGCCTCAAACAGAAACAAGAAAGTGATATCTCTCTCTCCCTGAAAGGCCAAAGTACAACCCCCTGCTGAGAGTGTCCATGTTGCTCTAATCTGGAAAGCTCTGATTTGACGGTACTACATCCCCCTCACAGCGGGACAGAGTGGGCTCCATAATATTTTGAATTATAGCTCGATACTAATGAAGACGTCCAAGCCCACAGCCAAACATAATCACCCAGTAAGGGAAATAAAGTAGTCCAAGCAGAGCTATATCAATTTCAATAAGAAGAAGTTATGCTTTGGACTTTTGTTATAACAGTTTATACACATTTGCTCGTTGGATTAAAGTTCACTCCGCAGTAATACCAAACGCTGCTTAGTGTACCTGTATATCTCAACATCTCTTTGCAAATATTTTGAAAGCAACAAAGTTAAATGTTCCACTGAGAGGATACTTGATCTGAGTTATGCTAATTATCTAAACTAATCTAACACACAGATAAAAATAATACCATGCTCCAAAGCTCCAGTGAGTGATGTTGTTGGGGAAATACTGATGTCATGTGAATAATTAGAAATATTAAGCAGAAAATAGGACAAATAATTAAGGCAATGCAAAGAAAAGCATTCAAAACAAGCATCTTCGGAGGTAATGACTTGAGGAAATCAATTAAACACAAGAAAGAATACAAAAAAAACATTAAACGTCTTTTGGGGAAAATGCTTCTCGAGCTGTAAAATTGAAAAACTTTAAAATTGACAACATGACAAGGTTGAAAACACAAACAAATTGGTTGCTGAAAGAGTCCAGAGAGCAGATGGAAAGTTTGATTAAAATTAATTGGTGTTGAGAGCGTCTGTATGACTATCACTGAAGCAGACTCTTTGACACTGCTAACACAAAAAGCACAACATGCTACTTAATTGCATGATTCTGATGGGTGTCATTTGTCTAATTATTAATTAAATATAAGTTTAACTCTGCATAATCATTTTACAGACATGTAGCTTGATAGTAATTCAATATTTAATGATAGAGAAAGTCACAAACTCAACTGTTTTCTTTATAAGATAGCACATATTTTGAATGAACCCTCATTTTATGTTTTGGGCTCTCTTTAACCACTCCAAAGTATAATTTTAAAGCTTTAAAATTGTTAAACACTCTTAATAATTCATTACTTAATTTTCATTCAGTGCTGCATTACCTTCTGAGCCAAAGCAGACGAAACCAGGTAAACCCATAATAGTCACACTTGTGGTCCTTACCTGTGAGTTGGGTGCTTGTGATTGGTGCAGATGGCTGTCTGGTAGTCGTGGCTGACACACACCTTGTGGCGGGGGCAGCGCACCTTCAGACAGGGGTCCTTGGTGGCATCTGGACCTACGGGGAGAGATCAGGGACAAACTTAATCTCTGAGCTGCTCAATACGTTTGGTGGAAACATGCACAGCATATGAGTCAGCACAATGTAGTTCTGCAAATGAGAGTTGATGCAGCAAAACATCAAGCTGTTTGTTTTCCAGGTGGCAGATTATTACGGTCCACTAACTGAAGCAAGAAGACAGTAAACGTTGAGTTTTCCGCGGTGTGAGCTGCTTAATGAGGACTATTTTCTCTGAGCGGTGACCCCATCTTCTTCCAAATCAATCTCTGCAGTGACATTATTACTGTGGCAGCCAGGCACAGCTGTCCAGAATGAGAAAAGAACAAAGCAGCAGATCATTTCCCACTTGGCTAACAGCACAAATCCACTTCCCTTTGACAGACAGAAAAAAAAAAGCAGGAGGTGTAGGAGGTGGAGAAGACACATTGACAGAAAAATAAACGTACGCTTTATCCTCAGCAAAAAAAGAAAAAACACAACAATGTGTGTTTAATGAAACGAGTAAGCATTGTATGTGGAGGAAGGTGCTGAGGACGGATGTGAGAAAGGAGACAAACGTGGAGGAAGAAGCTGTTTGTGTTGGTCATTCAGGGACGGATTAGTGAAGGACGGGAGGGAGGGCTCGTGGGAGGTGTGTCTCAAGATAAGTTACGAGTCAATTATGAGCCATCAGTATTCATTAAATGTTAAACATGGGCCTAGAAACCATTCTGAGCTAAGTATTGTGGAGTTCCAAATCGTATTCTACAGAAAACATTCAGAATAATTATGTAAAATAAACTTTCCATGCAATATCGTGATGCATTTCCCGATTTCAATACCAGTCATAATAACCCAATTAGATATTTTGTTTACAAATCCTTCAACTTAATGTATACATACATGGAGCTGATGTATTTGGTACGTGGTTCATATACTGTAGGCTGAGATAAGAGTCCAGGTGGGAAAAGAAGATGCAGAAATAGTCAGAAATATAAATGCTGACGTCAACTTTTGGGTATAGGAGGGGGAAAAGGGAGGGAAACTAGTGGGTGGGTCTAGGTATAGACCCAGCTTGGTCAGCCAGTGGTGGGGCTCCCAGTGTCACCTGTGGGGCTCTTGGTTGCTGTGTGTTGAGAAATACTGGAAGGAGCAGAGGATTGGGATGAAAAGGATGTGGGGATTTGGTGAAGCCTGTGGAAACAGGGATGAAAAGAATGATAAGCTGTGCCTGCTCCACAGAGAGAGCCGACACAGGGGGAAATACGACCTGGCTCTGAAGGGGCGGAGGTTCTGTGATTTCATATATGACCATTGAGGTGTGGAAGAGGGATGAAGCATGTGTTTGTTGTTGCTAGAGTAAAGTGTTAAGACAGGCGTTGGTGAGAGGCAACAATCCCAATCCTAGAGTTCCGATTGTGGATATCAGGAGGGCTTTGCTTTGAGGAAGGCTCGTCCTCTGCACTCTGTTAGATTGCTGGGACCTGTAAGGGGGTCAGTGGGTAAGGAGAGGGATGAAGACAGATCTTGGGACTCTATCTAAGACAATGCAGCTTCTCTGCAATAGTAGACCGAAGAAGTGTGATCATATTGGAGTTGCACAGATTTAGTTTGGGATCCATGGTGAGTCCATTTGAAAGACACATTAATCAAACTTTTTATATTGATGCAATTAAGCGCGAAACATGGTCTGTGATTATGATAGGACAGCAGAAAGCCTACACATCTTCCGGCGCAGACTGAAAACTCGTCTCTTTGGACTCCACTTCGAGCGATAGAATTACTAACAAAGAACTGCTAACAAAGCACTTATATACTAATAAAGGACTGGCTTATCTAAAGCAGTTGAGTAGCACTTGAAATGTTTGGCTCTATGAAACCTGATGTACTTATATGATTCTGTTTTCTTCAAGTTTGTATCTTCTTGGTCGAATGCACTTATTGTAAGTCGCTTTGGATAAAAGCATGAGCTAAATGCAATGTAATGATAAAGTAAGAGAAAGTGACGAGGAAGAGTTAAAGAGGTCTAAGAAGGCTTGACAGATGATTGGAGGCGAGGTTCAATTTTCAACTTCATTATTCAAATGAAGTGAGAGAAGGGCCAACATCAGGCACTTAGACTGGAGGTTGTGTTGCCCCAGTACATCACAAAGTATTTACCAGATGTGTATTAAAGAGCCCTCTCAATGAACAACATCAGCCAAATGAAAAAAAAAAGAAGAAATTATGATTAAAGACAAAATGGATTTGTAATGAGACCAAATGTCTCATTCACCATGGTGAAAAAACTAAAAACTAAATTCAGTAAGTTAATTAACACAGTGCAGAGTACAGATCAAAGCCCTGCCTTGTACAAGTCTACGAACACCATTAAACGGGACTGGCCTTGTCTCCATTAAGGGCCTAATGGGTTGTGTTTGAGCCACAGCTGGTGTCTGCTGCGAACATCAACTCGTTTCTGACCTGATCCCACACACTGCGCTGCAGACGACATGCTGGGTTTTCAGCGTTAAATCAGCCAAAGAGTCAAACACTATGTCGGTTTTTTTGTTTCCCCTCACAGTTACTCTGTAATATCAACAACCATCTATAAGAATGAAGAGTGTAATGATGAACACCTACACATACCAGATCTTAACATACATATCTGGAGGTGTCTCAGGATATGGTCGAGCTTTCTTTATCTTTGGGAATGAACACACACGATAAAGATGGTAAAGTGACGTGTACATAGTCGAATGAGAAGAGATACAGTGCACACATCCGTCATAAATGAGCAACACACACGTTTCCTTACAATCTGTGAAACACATACACAGATACAAAAAACGCATCACAAGCCTGCATGCTACTCTCATATCCCCCAAGAATGCAGAACCATGATATTTAACCTTCCTCTTGATAGCTGTCGGTTCTGTGTTTCTATTGCCTGCTTATTTGGGAATTTCTTCACCTCCATCTATCAGCGCTGCAGGAAACCCATCTTACTTCACTTTGCTGGAAAATGACTTTATCTCCACACGGAAATGAGAGATGAAGAAAGAGAGGAGAAATCGGGGAAAAGGAGGCTCGTATCCGGTTAACAGGATTGGAGGACAATTTAGGATTAGTGAGTGACCTTAACTCAGAGACAAATTGGAAATCGGACACAAATTAAAGAGCAACTCTATAATGGCACACAAGTACCCAGAGCATCACATGTAGATGATAATAGACAGAAATGTATTGTAAACCGTAAAGCCCGCGTCACACTGTCCCGAAATTGACACCCGATGGACACACGAATATGGAATTGTGAATTTCGCACGAAGATGGCCCCGAACCACACACAAAGGCAACATTTACTTTACATTTAAGACATACAACTGAAACGAAAGTAACAAAAACAACTATGTTAAAGTACTATGATACTGTACTGATATTTTCAGACTTCGTTCTTTGCTTTCTCCGTCTTTATACGTAGAAGATATTAAGTTTTCTCCGTAATATTGTTTCCATAGCAACAACAACTTCCTGTCAACCCGCCTTCAAAATAATATATTATATCCTTTTCAGTTTCACAGAACACAAATTGGGTTATTTACATATATGTTTACATGATTATGTTGTGCAATAAAACAACCAGATGGACACACGATAAAGGAAATATTCAAATGTGGCTCTGATCGTAGCAACATCGGGCCATTCGTGAGGGTATCTTGTTATCACCGATGCCATCGGGCATTCGCCCCGATCAGAGTGAGGGCGAATGCCCGATGGCACCNNTTGCTAATGAGGGAACAAAGCCAACACAGTTTCAATGTGAGTTTTTATTATTGATTTTATTTAAGAGTTCAGGACAGATGCAGACAACAAACATCCAGACAAACACTTGAGTTCAATAATAGAATTTGTATTAAATTCAAATATGTATATTTTTTACGTATTTCAAAATATAGTAAGGACAATAAAAATACATTTTGTGTCACATAATAAATTGTGATCAAAATGAAGTATTCATCACTCCTCCACCTCAGCGCCCGGCGGGACCTGGTACAACTGGAAGTAGCCGCTGTTACCCAGATCTAACCTAAGATCTCTGACAAAGAGTTTGACGACTGCAATGTTGAAATCTGATGTTATTTTTGCTATAATGAGAGACATTGAACTATCGTTAACCATTTGATCCCAATTATTTGTAAAAATTTTAATGATTTCATCATTGACCTCTCGGGGAAATGTGTGTGAGTTAATGCATTCCCTTCCATTCTCCAAATGCTGACTTTTTTTCCGCCTTTCCTTTCCCTTTTCCTGAAGTTTACAGACAATAGATTTAATATTTTTCTTGAGTGTTTCTTGACTGCTAACCTTTCCGATGAGACAGAATATATTTTTATTATCTGGTTTGAATTTGTCGTCCAGTGTAAAAAGGTTTTCCTTGCACAAGTCAACATATGGATGAAAAGCACATCTGGTTCTTGAGACTTTAGAATACAGGAGACCTTTGAAGGTACCTGGTCCACTTAGTCCCCAAGGCTTTTTGAAGAACACTATAGTCCTAATGCCAAATTTACTGTGCCATTGATGGGCTTTCTCTAAAAGATATAACATACAGGGCCCTTCATGTTTATCTTTATCTTTCTCATCTATCTTATGTTCTCTCATCAAACATGGACTATTAAAGGTGAATATATAAATCTTTTTAACTTCAGTTCCACATCTCTGCAAAAATTCATCTATCTTTGTGCATAAGACTCTCTCTGTGTGTGTTTTGACATTTCTTCGTTCTATCACATCCAACAACTGAATTTCACCACTTTTCATTTCTATAGCACCACATGAAAATTGATTATCCTGTTCCATAAGAGGGGGATTTAAGAAAGATGGCATGGGCGCATATATACTGAATCCAGGTTCTATTTCTGAAATAAGTTTCATTACATGTTTAAAACATGACTCGATATGTAATATGTAAATATGTAATATGGCAATATGTAGTATGTAAATATGTAGTAGTTCATTGAAATTATCCATGGTGA